TCTTTCCGGCCCCGCCGATCGATCCCCCAGAGCCGTCACCCGTAGACCGCCGCCCGGAGGTTAACGGGACCGACAGGGGGCGTCCTGGAGGGGCTTCGCGGAGAATCCTGTTCTGGGAGGGGCCTTTCCTTCCCGCCAGCATAATTGCCCTGCGCTGGGGGGGGGCGGGGAAGGGGGCGAAGGGCACCGCGACCCCTTTCTTCTGCCTCGGTTCTCCAGCTTCCTTTCCAGCACGTCGAGGCATCCCCCCCCCGCAGTCCCCAGGGCTGGGGAATTCGTTCCCTTTAAATTTCGTTGAGATCTCCGAGGACAGAGTTCGCTCAAGGGGAGTCTGTTTGAATTTTGGAGCCGGCTCCCAGGAGGAACTGGGAAACTTATGTGCTATGGGGGGGGGGGGGTCGTTTGGACTTTGCTGCAGAGGACAGCCCCTCTGAAGTGTTTGAGGACTGTAAGGGGAGGGAAACCAGAGCGATTGTGATGGGGTGGTGGTGGGGTGTGTGTGTGTGACCTGCATGCGTGCAGGGGGAGCCAAAAGGGCCCCAGGATCCTCCTCCGGATTCTGCATGTGAAAAGCATTTTTAGAACTCAAAGCAACCCAAGGATCAGGTCTAAAGACTAGGCAGATGTTCATACCTCACCTGGGGGCATCCCCTGCCCCTGTGCCACAGGCAGGAAGGCACTTACCGGCTCCTTCCCCGCTAATGGCGAGGGGTGTGTGTGTGTGTGTTTTCACATCTAGAGGAACCGAAGCTCAGCACAGTGAAAAAGCAGGCAGCCCTGACAGTCTGGACAGGCAGCCCTGCCCCAGCACCCCTCCTCCGGTGGTCTTGAAGAGGAGCTTCTGCTCCCGTGTGAGAGTTTTAAAGACCCCAAAGCAAAGCCGGGATACTTCAGGATGTGATGCGCAGCGCTCAGCTGCTGCTGCATCACATGACTGGGCTGGAAGAATTCTCGGCATCCTTGAAGAAGCCACATGACAGTCAGAACAGCTCCCTCCCCACTCAAGGTTTGCATATTCTGCTTCTGCGTCCCCCATCCCCCAAGACCACAGCCCCTGGTGATACTAGAAGTCTTTTTTTATTTCTTTCAAAGAACTTCCAAAATGGAAGGGAAGGTTTTATGTTGAAAAACGAAGAGATCTTTGGCGTTGCTTAAGAAAGGGCCAGGCGGCAGGGCGTGGGGGGGGGCGCGCGAATGGACAGTCAAAACAAGGCTTCACCGACCCATCCACGCAGGTGGTCCCTGGGAGGAGCAAAGAGCAGAGCGTCCATCCGCTCCTCTGTCCGTCCATCCGTAGGTACGAAGGCACCGTTGCAGGCTGTATAACCCCAGAGGGGCAGAGAAGGGTCCGGCTCCTTCTCCCTAGAAGAAGGGAGAGGCCCCCCAAGACCCGGCCGTGCCAGGCATGGGCTCACGGACTGGGTGGGCCCCCAGAGGTTCTGCTTCACAGGTCCAGAGGCAGGTAGCCACAAATCCCCCCGCTCTCACCAAGGTCTCCAAACTGAGTCTGCAGGAACCGAAGGCGCACCGGACCCAGGCGAGACGGCAGCCGCAGGGGGGAGCCCCGAACCTACTCCCCCGTGGGCATAGAGTGGGATGACCGCATTGCTGTGGGGTGCAAAGGCCGCGTTGGGGATGAGGAAGGCAAACTGCCCATCGGAGGCCGGAACCAGATGGAAGCCCCCATACACCTTGGTGCCTTCTCCTGCAGGGCTGCTCAGCTTGCAAGGCGCCCCGTTACCAGCAGGGGGGGCTGAGCCGGCAGGGATCTGCCCCAGAGGCTGCCCAAAAGATGCCCCATGTGGACCGCCCGAGGCTGGTGGCTGCAGGGCTGCCACCTGTGAGGGAGGCTGTGGGCTGGGGTAGTTCATGGCATTGATCTGGTTCATGCAGCCAGCCAGGTGTCCAAGCAGGCGGGTGCGCACCTCGGTGTTCACCCCCTCGCAGGTGGAGAGGAAGCGCGTCACTTCATTCATGCACTCGTTGAACCCAGCCCGGTATTTTCCTAACACGGTGGGGTCTGTATTCAGGGCAGCTGCAAGAGAGAAGAAAAGGGCCGTGAGAAAGAGGCAGGCAGGCAGGCAGGCAGCCCTGTTCCAAGCAAACTCCCTGGCCCACCCCTCCCAGGCGAGAGGTGCTATACCTGGAAAACAACCTGGGGATCCCGTCGGCATCTCGGTTTGCAGAAGGGAGAAAGACCCTCCTCCCCACCCCGAGTCCTGCCTGCACCCACAGCTCCTCTGTCCCTGTCCAGCAGGACATGCCACCATTTCCACGGCAGCCACCCTGGACCCACACCACTCTTGCTGGAGCAGGGTGGGCAAGCAAAGGTGGGTCACACATAGCTCTTACTTGCATGGGGTGGTCCTCCACGCTCACTCAGGTGTGTCAGGGAGGGAGGGCCTTTCCAGGGGCTACTCCTAGGCTGTGGCCCCTCCCTTGCAGGGGGCGATGAACCCCAGACCGGCCCCTTCCCTGCTGTTTCCCCCCATCCTTTTCAGAAAGGCTCTAGTGCAGCGGTCCCCAACTGTTTTCAGTCCGCAGGCCAGCTGGGGAAGGTGGGCCACTCCCCCGCGCTCGTGCAGATGCGTGAACAAGCACGTGTGCTCTCTTGCATGAGTGAGCGCACCCGTGCGAGTGCTGTGCCACTGCGCATGTGCATGAGCATGTGCGCACTCGCACACATGCACAAACGGGCTGTGCAGGGGTGAGTGCGTGCAGGGGTGGGTGGGACAGGAGGTCTGTCTTGGTGGCCTGGTCCGGCTCAGGCCATGAACCAGCACTAGGCCGCGGACCGGGGGTTGGGGACCTCTGGCCTAGTGGGTATCTTTCTGCTTAGGGTTAGCTTTTCATTTGTGTCCTTGTTTCTGTTTGATTTTTCTATGATAGGATTTTTTTTTTAAAAAAATAGTGTTTTAATCCCATGTTTTTTGATTAGTGTGTTCCCTTGAATGTTTCTATCACAACGTATAACATCTTAGCCATATCAGTTTCTTAACTGCTTTGTCAATGGTACGGAGTCCTTGTGTAAGAAAAGGGCAGGATATTAATTAATTTAAAAACAATTACTCATATACAGTGAATATGGTGAGCAGGAGAGTGGCCAGGAATGCCAGAAGCCTCCCGGCAATGCTAAGGAAGCAGGCCACCAGACTGGAGAGTGGCAACCGGTCAGAAGGAGGGGGAAACAGTCCTCCCAGGAGGTAGGAAACTGAACTGATTGAATGAATGGAGCCTGGTCACAGACGGAATAAACAGGAAAAAAAAGAGAGCCTATCAGGGTTAAATAAACACACTCTTAAAGAAGAAAAAAAGAGAGTCCTGGCCGGGCGATGACGATTGATCAGGGTTAAATAAACACACTCTTAAAGAAAGGCTGAAAGGGATAAACAGATTTTAGGGACAGAAGATAAAGAAAATGGTGAGATAAACTTGTTTGCTGATGACACATTAGTCACAGTTAAAAATCCAAGAGAAACAACAGAAAGGCTTAAATCACATTGGGAGGAATCCGAGGGTGTAATGGGATTAAAAGGAAATTGGGAAAACAATGTTTATTGTTAAACCACTTGGATGAGGAGAAAATAATGAAAACAATATTTGAAGGAAAAATGGGAAATATTAAAAAGAATTGAAAGTACATTGTTAAAAAATTGGTGAAGAGATTAAGAATATTACTAACCCTTTTCTTAAAAATATGTTAGAAAACTGGAAAAAGTTTAAAGGTATGTTGAGCCCACCGATCTCTCCTTTATCCCAGGTGGTGGATTTAAAGAATTTTCTAGAAAAATCTATTTAAAAAACTCTTAAGAATATATTAAAAATAAAGGCATAAATAGGATAAAAGACTGGATGGATGAGAGATGAAAGAAATATAAAAGAGATTTTTGGAGAAGAGGGGGTTTCTTGGTTTAATATGATTCAAATAGAAAAGTGGATAAGGGAATGGAATAGTAAGGAAGGGAAAAGTAGGAAAATGACAAATTTTGAAGAGATTATTGAAAAAAGATTGAAATTAGAGGAAAAGACAGAAAGAAAGGGAACTAAGTTAAATATATAAATTATTAATTCAGGCTGAACAGGATACACAAGGATTAAAAATGATGTAATTCTGCTTTATGTGGTGTTAGATTTATGTTGTTTAGGTTGGATGTTTAATAAATTTATTTTTTTTAAAAGAAAGGCTGATAGGTTGAACCGTGTTGGGCATTTTATAACAGGGAGGGGGGAAGGTTATATTTTCTACATCCTGGGATTACCGTTTCCCCCTTTCATTGACCTATGCAGGATCTGGGGTCAGAAAACAGCATCCTCCTTTCCTCCTCCTCTCCCCCTTGCATGCTTTCTTCATTCTGCTTGGGGTGTGTGTGTGTGTATATGTGTCTGGTGTTCCCTGCCACTTGCCTTCTTTCCCAAGAAGACCCCGCCCCGTGTCCTGTCTCAAGCAGTAGCTGCAGGAGGACCAGGCGGAGGAGAAAGGTCTCCTCCCTGTGGCAACCTTTCCCCTCCCGCCCGTGCAAGCTGCCACCCTCCCCATCGCTTCCCCTCTGTCCGCACACCCACCCGCTTTTCCGGAACAGTAACAACTTGGAGTTGTGTGTCTATAAATAAAAGCCAGACCGTGGGAAAGCCTGCCTGAGCCAAGTCAGTAAAACGCAGCTTGAATGGCATTCAAAACCGCAGGCGGAAGTCTGGAAGAAATCACCTCTGAGGGAAGAGAGGAGGGGCAGCAGCAGGAGGAGGAGGCAGTGGTGGCGGCAGCGCCACCGCGCACGCACACCCCCATAACTGTCCTGCCCTGCTGGGGCCACTCACCGGTCATCTGAGCCCGCTGCAGGTTCCGCAGATGCTTGACCGTCATTTCTAAGATGTCTGCCTTCTCCAGTTTGGAGTGCCGAGAGCTCTGTGGAAGGAGAGGAGCCGAGTGAGTGGCTGGAGAGAGAGAGAGAGTGTGTGTGTGTGTGTGTAGGGGTGAGGGTTTGAGAATCACGGATGGGGGGGTGGCTCACAACATTTTAAAAGGAGGGTGCAAACCATCAGTACCACAAAAAGCAACCACCATCTCCATCATGTCTGGCGGCAAGATTGCAGAGGAAGGAGGTGGTTAAGGGCAATGGCTAC